TAATAATACCATACAATGTTAATATGTGTTGTTGTTTTTCTTCCAGGAGAAGTTTGGGATCTCTAGTTTAGCAGGGATGTCGTGTGTTGTAGACGGAACAGTTCCTCCCAGCTCAGGTCTGTCCAGTTCAAGTGCCTTAGTTTGTTGTTCTGGCCTTGTAACAATGGAGGCAAACCAAAAATCCCTTTCTAAGGTAAAGTACTTTATTATAAATTGGATCATTGGGTTAATTACTCATTTCATTAAACCAAATGGTTAGCATGGAAGAGTATTTGATACAGAATATTTTTGTTTTGTGGAAGAATCTTTGATATTTGATGTGTTTTCTTTAATAAAACCTTTCCTCCAGGTGGCTCTAGCTGAGATATGTGCCAAATGTGAGTGCTACATTGGGACAGAGGGTGGAGGCATGGACCAGTCCATATCATTTCTTGCAGAAAAAGGAACCGTATGTTCATCCACAACTTCCATGATTAATGTCGTGTTTAGATAAATAGACACATTTAATTTACTTTTGTTTCAAGCAACAGTTCTGTGTAGTTTTAAACATTTTGTCCGTCAGGCGAAGCTGATAGAGTTCCAGCCTCTGCGGGCCACTGACGTGAAGCTCCCAGAGGGCGCCGTGTTTGTGATTTCCAACTGCTGCGTGGAGATGAACAAAGCCGCTTCTTCTCACTACAACATCAGGGTGGTGGAGTGTCGGATCGCCACCAAGGTTCTTCTCAAAATGCGACGAAACAATACTCAGTGTTCGTATGTATGGCCTGGATGTGTCACCTGCTGTATGTGCTTTGTGATCACAGATGCTGGCGCAGGCTCGAGGTCTGGACCCGAGCGGGTTGCTGAAGCTGGTTCAGGTTCAGACGGAGCTGGAGGCCTCTCTGGAGGAGATGCTGGCCCTGGTGGACGAGGTTCTGCACCCGGAGCCGTACGACCGGGAGGAGATCTGTAAAGTTCTGAGCATCACCCCGGAGCAGTTCTCCTCAGAGCTGCTGAGCGCCAACACTCAACACTGTGAGTGACGAAACGTATCTTTGCATTATGTTGAACTACGTAACCTTGAAGAGGTCGTACAGTTTGCTAACAATGACTTGATAAAATAATACTCGGTCCTGCCTCTCCTAACCAGTGACGCACTTCAAGCTCCACCAGCGGGCCAAACACGTGTACGGCGAAGCTGCGCGGGTGATGAGGTTTAAAAGCGTGTGCGACGCCGGATCTGCTGACTCTGTGAAACTGCTGGGCGAGCTGATGAACCAGAGCCACCAGAGCTGCAGAGACCTGTACGAGTGCAGCTGTCCTGAACTGGACCAGCTGGTGGACATCTGTCTGTGAGTCCTGCAGGACATTAATTTTATCCCCACAACTGTCCTTTTAGAGACTTTCAATCAGTAATGACTCATTTATTTAGAGAAGCTTCAGAGTTTATTTGGAAGTTTGTTACTTCACATTTAAATCCAGATTATCCAAAGTATTAATGTTACTAACAAGAGTTAATTCTTTAACAGTTTTATTTTAGTTTTCCAAAAGTTTAGTGCAGAGCTGACAAGCAGTGGACTCTTTAAAAAGTGACTTTTTCAGTTTGAATCTGTAAAATATTGAATGGATGTGTAGAAGTTGTGTGTAGCATGGTAACAATAAACCTACAGTCAGATTATTGAGAGTGTATTCGAATAGAATTTCAACTGTGGTATTCAAATTAGTTGAGTGAAATTCTATTATTTTACATCTAGTGCCACCATGTGGTCGAACATGAATTGTTGAATATATCTTCAATGACCAAAAACTCTCAACGTTACTTTGTCAGTGATAAATATGAAATTAATTTGATTTTATTTATATTCTTTGCTGCATGTTCAGTGCTAAATAGCATTAGCTGAAATGCAGGTTTAGAGCTAAATAGTATTAGCTTATTTAGCTAATTAACATTAGCTTATTAGAGGTCTGGACCTGAGCGGGTTGCTGAGCTAATTAGCATTAGCTTATTTGCATGTTCAGAGCTAATTAGCATCAGCTTTGCTGAAGGTTTAGATCTAGTTTGCAAGTGTTATCATGCTAAGGAACGAATGTTAGCATGTTAAACAGCTGTTATTTTGAACATTTTTACAGTTTTTATAGGAAAATTTGAAAAGCAGCCCTTTGTAACAATAAAATTTATGCATATTTCAGAGGCTATTAAAATTTAAACTATATTACATTAGAAACAGATTTGATTGAAACAATCTTCAGAACTGTCATTTGATATATTTAGCAGCACTAATTATTTTATTTTACTTATTAGTTTTAAAATGTGAGCACCGATTTTATCCTGCATTATTAAGTGTCCGACAGACTCTTATAAACCATCTATTGATTCATTTCTGTCTACAGCAGATTCAATGAAAATGTCTTCATTAAAATATAATTTCATTTGCATTTTATTATCTCTCTTTCTGGATCACTACTTGCCCTGTCTCTAAATATTTGATGAGGATTAATGTGACTGTAAGATGATGTCTGAACGACTGGATGAAATATTGACTTTTTGTTTTGTGTTTTCTGCTTGCAGGAAGTCGGGGGCTGTTGGTTCCCGGCTGACGGGAGCAGGTTGGGGAGGCTGCGCCGTCTCCATGGTGCCCAGTCAGAAGGTGGAGGCCTTCCTACAAGCTGTCAGGGATGCTTACTACACCCCTGACCCACGCAGGGCGGCCATGGAGAAGCAGAGTTTGTTTGTAACCAAGCCTGGTAGTGGAGCTGCCATTTTCCTGGAGGAGTGAAATGTACTGAAGTCTTAGACCAAGAAGCAACAAGAAGGTTTTTTTTTTCCAAATCAGATGATGAAGGGAAGTGTGTTAATTTTACTTTTCTGTTAATGGATCAGGGAATTTCTAGTTTAATTTTACCTTTTTTATTCTTAAGTGGGGCCAAATTTTCAACACAGGTGGGATAAATTAAGGCGTTTTGTGTAACAAGGATATTTTTGTTAGGCTCATTTCTTTTTAATACTTGGAAAAAAATATAAATCTATCATTTATAAAATCAATCTATCCTTTTATTAAAGGATATAGATCAAGAAGCAAAAACATGATAAACTGTTTACAATAATAGATACTGACATACAACCAAAAATACAGATTGTTTCCTGTCATTCATTCTGCTCAACTTCTTTTTATTTTATTTCTTTTAAACAAATTTTATTTGCTTCACTGGACCCAGGTTTGGAGTTTGATCAGCTGTCAGTTTAATACATTCAGCAGTTTATCTTTTATTTTTAAATAGATTTTGAGCCATGCATTCCACTTTTACCCATTTTTAAATCCAACCTAAATCAAACCTTTCAAGGCACAGAACAGTGAGGTATGTAAATCTTTAGCGTTACAAAGTCATGTGTCTCTAGTTTGGTTAATGGCAATAAGAATGATGATAAAGTGTAAAGTTCTGTGCTTTCTGAACCTGCTGTAAAAGTGAAACAAATTCAACAAATGTCCTTAATGATACAGATGAAACGGTTAATTTCTTTAAAGTCCAACACCCACCATTACATTCTCAAGTGCTCTTCAGAATACAAGATTATTATTTTTTTTGCATTCTGGCCATGCAAGTGTAAAAAACAAACAACACTAAAACTGATCAAACTAAACACTAAAGTCCAAACACACTAAATCTCTTTAAGTTTGGGTTGTTTGCTCCATGAGACTGCCTGTCTTTGCATATGCCCCCAGCCTGGTGCAAAGGAAATGTGGCGGTCTCGCATGGCGTGATGTCACACTTCATATATGGAAGTGAAGGGACTGTTTCCAAAACCGTGATTTAAACAGTTTGAAGACGTCACAAAACAAAATTGCTTTACTTTTTAACGTTTGCACAGAACATCTGTGTTTATTTGTTACGTCTCTATGGTGGGTGTTGGACTTTAATGTAGACAGTTGGATTTGTTCAGACAATGATTTTGTTTCACTTCAGCTTTAACATTCATCTCACCTGATTCATAATAATAAAAAAATGAGGTACGTTTGTGTTGGTTTGAGTCCAGATCTCCTCAGATGAAGGACACTCATTTTGTGCTTGGTCTGTTAGTCTTTGGCTCAGGAGCTGCAAGCGACTTCATTCTTCCTCATGAGCACGTTTTCTATCCAGTTGGAGCCGTCCGCCGTCCTTTCCGGGGAGCAAGCAGAGGAGACGGTGCTCGTCCTCATGTTTTTGCCAGAGGTGATGAGCTCTCCGTAGCCCTCTTGGTGGGAGAAGGCGTAGGCAGAGCGCCGGGAGCTCCTCCTGCTCACGCGCCTCAGGCTCTGCTCCTGAGGTCGCTGCTTCTTCCTGCAGCGCTGCAAACGACGGACCTGTGAAGACGCAGCACTTTGGTTACTGCTACACAAACATCGTTGGCGTATCTGGAGTTATTCTACCTTATCTGTCAGCGTCGGGAAGAGGTTCGCTCTCAAGAAGCTGACGACCAAGCCCGGCACAACACACACCACAGTGGTGAGCAGGATGACCAGCCACACACACCTCTCTGAAAGGCTGTTACGGGCCGTGCCTGGGGAGACGGAAATCTTATTTATGCTTCATTTGCACCTTTCAGCAACATTTTTATGGCTCTGAGCTAAACTCACCCATAAAAGGAAAATTGCTTTGTAAAAGGCTGAACAAGCCGTCGCTTTGCATCGCAAATAACAAGACGAAGTACACAACGAGGCTGCCCCCCACAAACAGATGATTGACTGCCGTCCAGTAGTGTGTGTCCAGCCCAATCTATCAACAAACAGCACATATTCATTTATATCAAACTTTTAGATGCTTTGCGTTACGAGGCTCACCTGAACGTTTACGATGATGACCAGAGCGGTCGCTATGATGACGGCGAACGTTTGCTGGTCTGAGAAGTCTGAGCCGTCCTCTTTCACCATGACGAAGAAGGCTCCGTAGGGAATAAAGAAAAGCAGGAAGGAGGTCGTCATCCCCTGCAGGCTGCACAGGAAGAACTGGTGCTTGTTGAAGAGGAGGTTCTGCTGGCCCGGTTTGTACAGGCTCGGGTAGCGAAGGCTGTTCTGGTCATTGACGTCCTGTAAACAGATAGTTATTGACTGGACAACGATACAAGGTTAGGAATTGGTAATTAAAAGGGTTCTGTGAGATAAAAACACATGGTGTTCATGACTTTTAGGCTTTTTAAAAAAGTGTGCATATTATTGATTATGGCTTACAATAAACCTTACCTCACATACAGTATGTCAAACTCAAAGCCCGTGGGCCAAATATAGCACGCCACAGCATTTTATGTGGCCTGCAAGAGCTTCAAAGATGTATGAATGTCTTGATGTTTATGTATGCTGCTTTAAAGCCAGCACTGAACATAAACTACATCTCCCATGATGCTGATTATTTGACCCATGAAATGACAGCATCCCACCACTAGTAGGAGGTGCACAGGGTTCAAAAGTATCCGGCCGCCAGTGAAATTCACCATGTAAAATCTGCATTTCACCGTATTTTCACCAGCTACTTCTGCTGTGGCCCAGTTATACTGGGATGTGGGGATTTCCCACTTACAAGTCACAAATTTCAACTTTTCAATGTTTATAAGAGGATGTGTTAAAACACTGTTTCTATGCAAGAAATACCACGTAGAGCTCAGTTGTTTTGTTGTTTTGATAGTGGTGCTCAGCTGTAGCAATGAGACGAGGAACATGATGTTTTTTGTTTAGTTGAAGTTAATTACAACCGGCCCTTTGAGGACAACATAACGCTCATGTGACCCTTGGTGAAAATGGATTTGACCCCTGTCTTACCTGATCAAAAAGTCCCACAGCCAGTACAGGTAATGATGTATACACAATGTTGAAGAGAGTTATGAACCACTGGTCATACACAGTCTGTGGGTGGAAAAGAGTTATTTAACTCTCGAAGAGCACACTGGTTTTATATTAGATGATAAGCTTCGTACCTGTGCTGAGAAACCACAGAAGAAGCCATACCAGAAGTGAACCAGGGTGAAGGCAAAGTTTTTGTAGAAGAAGTAGCTCAGGAAGTTGCACATACGGAAGTAGGACCAGCGTCCGTGGACCAGCAGGAGCCTCTGCAGGTATCGAAACTGAGCGAAGGAGTAATCTGAGGCCAGAACAGCTTGCATCCCCTCCTGGCCACTGATGCCAACACCGATGTGAGCAGCTGAGTGAGAAAAACAACATGGATCTTATTAAAAATTTACTCCGTTAAAGACACAAAACACTTTATTGTGTATTTGTTTGCCAGGGGATATTCACTCTCTTTAAGGACTACAAATACTTCCTCTGTAAGAAGAAGAGGAGAGACAGAAAGGGACTTTTAACACCACGGTTCTCAAACTGTGGTGCCACTGGTGCTGCTTTGAATCCCTTTAAGTAAAATTTTATCAACTAATTACTAATTCAGTAAACAAGCTGAATTATGATGTAAAGCTAAAAAAAGACAAGATAGCCAAGCGGTATAAGCAAATTACAATGTAGGCGACAAATCAGACTTTTTTTCAAATCCAATCTGTCACTTTCATATGAGGTACTAATTCAGATACATGTGATGTTTTTCAAAGGAACATGTTGCATTTTACCTGACTTACGTCATTGAGGTGGGGGTATACAGATTAATCCAAATACTTACATTAATACCAGTGTCATGCTCTGAACTCTGCCCGTCTTACAGAACAAAGCTACAGAACAAAAGTCCAGTTGCTACGTCTTTTTTTTAAACTTTCTAGATTTGTCATGTTCTGGGTTATTGAGAATTTACACCAATGTATGATGCTAACGCTGGTATACCATGTGACAGTACTGATACTAGCACAATGCGATCGATACTTGAGTTTTTTTCTACTTTCAGTCAATCCAACAAGGGACAGAAAAAAGCACAGCAGAGGTTTTTTTATTCAAACCTCAACTACAAGAAGCATATTAAAAAAAGACACAAACTGTTAAATACAACCTAGTCAATTTTAGACATGTTGGATCTTGTTTGTCATTGGAAGCAGCCAAGTTATTCATGCATGCACTCATTTTTTCACACATTTCATATTGTATTTCATGTTGGGGACAAACCAATTTGTCAGTAATAAAACCTGTAGAGTCTTGTTACAAACAGACCCTCAAAATATTGGGCAACACGCCCTTAAGACACCATCATTGTCAGATTGTGCAGGAATATAACTTACTTTATTTTGAAAATTTTAGAGTTTTCTCAAATATGGAAACAGTATATAATTTTTTTAACGGTTTAGCGCCAATCTGTTTGCAAAAATTTGTTTATTATCGTTCAGCTGTTTCTTTGCACTTAACCAGAACGTCCAGGCAGAACTGTGAAGTTCCTGCTCGACGATCAGCCTTTGGACAAGCAGCTTTTTCGGTTAAAGCCATCGCTCAGTGGAACGCTGCTCCTGATCGTGTAAAAAACTGTAGTTCTATTAGTTTTAAAAATAATCTTAAAAAATATCTTAAATCTACCCAATGATGCAATCACTGAATTGCACTAGGTAATCGATTTTAGAGTTGCTTCTGGTTGTGTGGGGTGGAGGGTGAGGTGGAGGTGGGCATGATTTTATGTTTGGAGAGTGGGGCGGGGTGTTTTATGTATTTTTTTTTAATTGCAAAATGTTTTATATTGTTTTTATTTTTCTGTTTTTTTCCTCTCTTATTTCTATTTTACTGTTGGATGTTGTTTTGGTTTTACTGTTTGATGGGACTACAGATGTAAATTAGACTTAGGCTAAATCTGGTGCAATGCAACAAATTATGTTTTAATGTCCCAAACAAAAATAAAATCATTCATTCATTCAATAGTGCGGACAGCTTTGATTGAGCTGATCCACACATGCTAAAATGTAGCATCTATACTTCTATAAACACAGCATGCTGTGTGTGATGTCATGTTCCTTCTGTGGTCACTTCAGGGTCATGGATTGTTCACACTGGAGGTGGTGGAGGACATTTTTAAATTATAATGTGAATGACCAGAAAATTCAGATCAGGCCAAAAAAAAAAAAAAAGGAACTGACTGAGCATCAAAACCTGCAGCGTGAACGTAACAAAAGTCTTTATGATCCTCTGGAATATGATGTCGCTCACTTCACCCGTACCGATTTCTTCTTAGCATGGGATTTTTTTTGCTCTTATTAGTGAGCAGAGAGTAAAATCAGGTATAAAAGCTGTAAAGTCTGAGAAGTGTCTATTGAGTTTTTTTAATTTTATTTTATGCAAACACCATTTTTACAGAGAAACCTAATAAACACTTTGTTTCCTGAGCCTTACTCTTAATCATGCTGACATCGTTGGCCCCGTCTCCCACAGCCAGCGTGACGGCCCTCTTGTGCCTCTTCACCAGCTCCACCACCTGAGCTTTCTGCATCGGAGTGACCCGGCAGCAGATGACCGTTTTACACAAGCAGGCCAAATCCAGCAAGATGTGCTCCAGCTGGGGCTCCAGAGCGTGAGCCTGCAGGGCGAACACATGCATCGCACCTGTTAGACATCACTGCATCCGACCCGTTACGTCAGCCCCCTGCAGAGGCCTGACGCAGCGTTTTCCATCCAGCCTGGTGTTGTGCACGCTGCCCGAGGTGCGGCGAGGGAGCAGGAAATAGATGTTAATGAAAACTTGTAATTGTGCTGATGGCTCTCAGCGCCTCTTTGCTAATTAGACTCTGTTTAGTCAGCTGCGTGCAGAGATGCCAGATTCAGCAGAAAACACACACAACCAGCGTTTAGTGGTGTGAAACCTGCTTTATAAACACTACAGCCAAAATAACGTTAAAGGCCTCACGTTCTTTAAAGGATTTATAATCTGCCTCCTTTCAGGCCAAAGTTTAAAACTAAGATTATCTTATGATGAGAAAAAACAAAGTTACATCTGTTTTGGTCAAACCTTGTCAATGACAAATCTCACAGATCTCAAGAGCTGTGTAAACTCTCAAAGTATCAGTTTGGTTTTATTTCACAAGACACTGGGTCTTGCTGACATAATGGTGAGATCAAACTCTATAACTCCACCTGAAACATGTGAAACCATAAGTGAAACCACAAGTCATCTGTCACTTTAATACACCTGTGCAATTTATTTATCTACTACACTTTAATCTAACATGTGCAATGTCACTATCATCACCTATTCTTATATCATTAATGATATCTGATGGGACCTTTGCATCAGTCATACCGTTTTTAGCTTCAGAGTATATCACCATTGTTATTTCTATTTACACTGTTGTTATTTCTACTTACACTGTTGTTATTTCTATTTACACTGTTGTTATTTCTACTTACACTGTTGTTAT